TTAAAACGTGACAAATCGGTGGAAATATTTCCAAAAGGAATTATATCGACTTATAAGTTCTGTTGAAATTTACCTTATCTACATAATAAAAAAAATATAATTCACTTTGAGTGGAGATTCCTTGAAAAAAAACAGGTTGATGATAAGGAAAGATTCATAACATTGCAAAGTGAAATTGAGTTACATTGGCATATTTGCGGGTGTCAATACTGTCAATTCGAATATGTGACATACAAGCATTGTTATGAATTTACATACCATGCATGCATGACATAAGTCTGTTCCATAATTCATACAAATACAACATTTATTGATAAGTACATATACCTATAAACAATAACTCGAAAATATACCTACCTATACTAATCAAACTACTTAAGTCCATAACAGATAATACAATTGAACAAGTGTTAGGTATTTGTATATTTCATGTCAAAACCCATATACCATTATAGAAAAAAATCTATACATATATATTGATTCGAAATTATTTATATTTGAATAATACATTACTACACTGAATAGAACAAAACAAGTCGAATTCTCAAATGAAATATAGAAATTGCAAATGTTGCAAATGAATACGTCTGTGCATGTGTATATGCCATTTAAACCTCCAACACCCTCTTAATTTGGAACACGCCGACGGACAAAAACAAAAAGTCCATAGATAATAATATGGTACTCAACGAGGTCTATTCGAAAATGTGGGCGAATCTTTGAACTTCATCAGATTTTCAAGGCCTAAACTTTTTTTAAGGGGTAAAAATTTCAAAAAAGACTATCAGGCACCTTTTTTTGCGAAACTGTGGCGGGCTCATTCGATTTAGGCATAGATCAGATACCTCCGTATATACAAAATTTGAAAAGCAATATCTCATAAATAGGGTATTAGTTATTCAATGGACAATTTCAAAATCGTCGCGTTTTCGATCGACCCATGTGTTAATGTGTTAATTATAAGGAGTTGATACATATAGACATAGAATATACATAGAATACTTAGATACAAATCGTTGTAACTTCTACAGGAAGATGTCTCTTGGTCAACCAGAAATCAATAGAACTAAAGTTGAGGTTCACCATTTTAAAAGTAGAGAGAGTATATTTCCACGAATTCGTTACTATTATTTATATCTCGAGGAAAAAAGATATGGATCATGGAAGAATTCTCAACTTCAATTTCATTAACTTTTGGTTGATCTAGAGAGATCCTCCTGTAGGTAATGGATGTGCTCCTTCATTGAATGAATATTTCAAAAGTAGAGAGAGTATATTTCCACGAATTCGTTACTATTTTTTATATCTCGAGGAAAAAAGATATGGATCATGGAAGAATTCTCAACTTCAATTTCATTAACTTTTGGTTGATCTAGAGAGATCCTCCTGTAGGTAATGGATGTGCTCCTTCATTGAATGAATATTTCAACCGGTTATATCAAGTCTATGGATACAGGGCTAATGGAAAAATCGAAATTTTCAAAATTTTGCCATATATAGAATAACTAACACACTATACCTATATGAGATATTGCGTTCAAATTTTGTATGAGAGTATAGTCACTGATGCTTCGGAAAAATTTGCCCTATCGTCGTCGTTCTGGAATTTTGACCCCTTCACAAACGAAAATAGGCCTTGAAAAGCTGAATATTTCAGTTTTTTTCACATTTTCGAATAGAGCTCGTTGAGTTCTGTATTATGGAAATATTGTTTTTGAAAATTGGTTGTCGGGTTTCAAATTGGGAAGCTGTTGCGAGTTGATGTCGCACACTCTATATATATGTAGGTACATTCAAATCAGATTCAAAAGAATGAATCTATAGGTACCCATAATACCTTCTTATTGGTATATAATTAATCCATTGGAAATAAAATGTATTGATTTTTGACATCGATTGTATGCCCAATCGTGACAAATAGATCAATAGGCGATAGAGACTGAGACAGTCTTCGCTGGAATATCCAAACAATAATTGTCTAGCGGTGATCGTTGTTTTGCCTATACTGCCATGTTTCTTTCTGTTCAATTCTTGTATTCTTGATATAGGTTTTACTATGAATATCTAATTTGACTTTAGTATAAGTGAACCTTAGGTACTTTAGATTACGGTTGATCAGATATTTTTAATAACAAATTTCAGATTGTAGTGAATATAACATTGATATAGATAAATAGAATATTTTGGAAGCTAAATATATATCATACATGCCTATATAGCTCAACTATCCCCATAATTATATATTTATACAGGGTGTAACTGAATAAGTGTAAAACATTTGAGGGGATGATTCCTCATCGAAAAAAAGATGGGATCTTTCATAAAAAACAACTTCATTGGAGCATCCCATGTTAAGATACAGCCCCTTGAAGGGGGTACATAAAATTTGTTCAAAAATTTTTTTCACAAGCACTAAAAAAGTTACAGTATTGAAATTAACCTGACATTTTCTACTACCAAAAAGACACTTAGCCACTAATTTATTTGGTTCACCCCATAGTTGTAAGGGGTGGAAAACTCAACCCCTAAATTTTATTTCCAATGTAACTTTTTGTCTTATTATTTGTTTACCATTTAAAAATTTATTTCCGATAGCCAATTTCATGCTAAATAAAAAATGTCCCTTGAGTTTTTTGCCCAAAATGAACCAGTTGGCAGCAAAAAAATATGTTGAGATCAACTACAGTGATACATCATTGTCATTTTGTAGTTACTATCTGCGTTAAATAATTAAAGGGATTAAACCATGGGGTAAACCAAATAAATTACTGGCTAAGTGTCTTTTTGGTAGCAGAAAATGTCAGGTCAATTTGAATTCTGTAACTTTTTTAGTGCTTGTGAAAAAAATTGTTAAACAATTTTTATGTACCCCCCTTCAAGGGGCTGTATCTTGACATGGGATGCTCCAATGAAGTTTCTTTATATGGAAGATTTTATCTCTTTTTCGATGAGGAATCACCCCCTTGAATGTTTTACACTTATTTAGTTACACCCTGTATATATGACAATAAATAATATCTACATACCATTATATTAACTGACATCAACTCTTTCAATAAATGATCGAATATGGTTTTACCTAAATCTAAGGCCTATATATACAGGATGTTACTAAATAAGTGTAAAACATTAAAGGGGGTGATTCCTCATTGATAAAAAGATAGAATCTTTCATCTAAAGAAACTTCATCGGAGCATCCCATGTTAAGATACAGCCCCTTGAAGGGGGTACATGAAATTTGTTTGAATTTTTTTTCCACAAGCACTAAAAAAGTTACATTATTGAAATTGACCAGACATGTTCTACTACCAAAAAGACACTTAGCCAGTAATTTATTTGGTTCACCCCATGGTTTAATCCCTTCAATCATTCAACACAGGTAGTAACTACAAAATGAGAATAAATCGAGTTTGCATATATGACCATTTATCTCTGTAGTTGATCGTAATAGATATTTACGTTACTAGTCCGGTAAGTACACTTTTACAGTACGAGTGAGATGTTTACGGACGAGGCGCAAGCCGAGTCCGGAATTTCGAAACGAGTACTGTAAAAGTTTACCGGACGTGTGACGTATAACATTTTATTTCATACTGCCAAAAAACAAAAATGAACAGTGAAAAATAAAATATTGATCTATTTATCTGCGTCCAGTAATTTCAGAATTTTGCATTCACTCCCAAGATAGCTGGCAGGTAGTTTCCTTAGAAACATAATTTTTGTTTTAAATAATACTGTCAGTGATTGTCGCATGATTCAACATGGAGAAAACTTTGTTGAAGTGCTACAACCGAAAAATGGGAATGTATCAGCAAGTAGCAACTCCCTAATAAATGATTCATCCAATGGAGCTCCTGGTATCCATATTCATGGGAACGAAAATTTAACGGTTAATATTAATATTAGCAATAAGTAATTTCTGTGTATTGTTTTGCTGTTGAATTTTTAATAAATGTATTCATGCTTTTGACGCATAACTGAGTATTCAATATTTACAATCCGGTAAAATTTCATTACGGGATAGTAGCACGTAATGAAATATTACGTGCGCCTATCCTGTAAAAGTCTATTTTCCGGATTGAAATCAGGTACGTAAAGGTATGTTCTATGATGCAGTATGAAATAAAATGATTTTTTGCTGCCAACTGGTTTATTTTGGGCAAAAAATTCAAGGGACATTTTTTGTTAAGAATGAAACAGGCTATCGGAAATAAATTTTTAAATGGTAAACAAACGATAAGATAAAAAGTTTCATTGGAAATAAAATATAGCGGTTGCGTTTTCCACCCCTTACAATTATGGGGTAAACCAAATAAATTACTGGGTGAGTGTCTTTTTGGTAGTAGAAAATGTCAGGATAATTTCAATACCTTAACTTTTTTATTGGGTTATGAAAGGTCTCATCATTTTTTCGATGAGGAATCACCCCCTCAAATGTTTTACACTTTTTAGTTACACCCTGTATATATTAACAATATATGTATCCCGATTGGAAATAATAATAATAATGTACATTATTTAATCAAGATGAAAATTGAAATACAAATCAAGATGTGCCCCAGTACAGAATGCAACCAGTAGATCAACCGTCGTCAAAAAGGGCGAAATGTTCAATTTGAGAAATATATATACATCAGATATGGGCTGAGGAAAACTCACATCATGCCCTCCATCTATTCAGATCCCAGCAACACTTGTTTGACTTCTCACCCACCCCTATTGTATTTTGACCTGAAGAAATTGAATGAATTGTTGCTGTTTTCGAAAGTGGCAGGAGGGAATGCAAGACAAACAATTGCAATAAGCATGCTTCTATACATTTCATAAGGTGCATTCTGTTAACATATATATAAGATGTTGGGTATAACTCTTCCTCAGTGGAATTCCTCACTTCTTTAGGCACCAGGTTCAATAAACCCATATCTGATGTAGAATTTTCATTAGTTCTCCAATTAATGTTCGATTATAAATACGTATTCACAATAATTTTCGTAACTGACCTTCGTCTATTCTTCTTATGGCTTCTTCTACATTGGTGGCATCTTTCAAGATAGCATACATGAGTGGCATCATCTCCCATGGGTATTTGAACCTCTCCAACAACTTCTGGCAGTCTTCTAGAAGGTCCCTACCTTGTACTGTAACACAAAAGAATATAAATCAGAAAATATTTTCCTTCAAGTGAATCAATACAAATGACTATAATATACAAGGATTATCTATGTGTTAACAGAATCGTATGCTTCAGTCTTCATCAGTTGGTATAAGGAGCATCATCAGTATATACTATAACTCGGAATATCTTCATCATGCTCATATTGGGAGAGCAATTGATAATACATGATTCATGAATGTTCACATCGATGGAAAATAATCAGTGCGACTCATAGCAGATGTGCTTGGACACTAACTATTTGCTCTACATCTCAAGGAGACGACAGTTCACCAACCATGAGTGAAAAATTTACTGCGACCGTTTGAATGAATATGCGATCTGCGGTTGATGCATGACCTCAAAATCATTCAAAAATATTCGACAATATATTTTAATGAAACCATGCATAGCCTATTCCAGAAGAGAAACTTCTGATTGTCGTTGATATTTGTAATTGAACTGATCATAGATCTCTGATGATAATTAATTATCGGAAATGACCTACCTACATTGAGTATAGTAGGTATATATAGAAGGTCATTCCGTATATTCTAACAGCTTCTATACCAGGGTTTATCATTGAAGGTAGAAGAAAAATCAAATGTGAAAGATGTAGGGTTTGTTGAAACTCCAGAAAGTTATACCAGATGGATCAAATGCAAATATCGATGATATAAGTAATAGAACACCCTATATACCTATTTATTTTTCGAAAAAATTGACGATTTCTTTCCTGTTTTCAATAATATATAATATATATCTATTGGTATATGTTATTCTCTCCGTCGTACATTTTCTGTAGTCATTATCCAATTGATTTTCCGAATTTCGAATGGAGTTGGCGTGATGCTGGTTCAATATGTTAATGCATTCCAAAATTCTTCCTCTCAAATAAGCCAAATTTCTACTTCGTTTCTCATGCCAGATCAGGTCATTGTAACTTTACAAGTGACAGGTTTTGCAATTGATTCTGAATTTGCTTCGTCCAATCACTTGTTGGCTTAGCGACCCTAATGCTGGTGGATCTCTTCGTATACTCATATCCATGATCAGATATGGGCTTTTGGCACGATGCATCATCAGTCCATAAAACCTTATTACAATGGCATGATTTCAAATGGACGATATTCATGTTTAACTATAGGACAGACTTTTTTGGTACGTCAAATGTCAACATATTTCGATTCCAATATATTTCCGAAAAATATATAGGGTGTTCCATTGAATATAACGAAGTTGGTACCTATTTCCTATGAGATATTTATTCGTTTCATTCAGTATAACTTCCTAGATGTTCCAACATTCCCTACTTTTGCATTAGAGGAGTGTTTTATCTTCAATGATGAACCCTGTAATAGCTGTTCAAATATACAGACATCGAAAGTAATATCTAAGCATTGAGAAAAAGAACAACTAATACAAGTCGTGCCGAAAGAAGGGATATTGAATAACGCAACAAGAAGAAAGGAAACATAGTGACACACCATACAGGACTGCTGTATGTGGTCGAGCGAGTGTCAATCTTCATTGTATCCTGTATATTTCTATCTTTTTGCTGAGGGGCCCCGCGACCCCTCCTTGTGGACACCCATGCCCAACCAACTCCGCCAGCCTATTGAATTGAACTCTCTCTGAATCGGGAGCCTCACGCTCCTGACACAATAGGCTCTTTGCGGCCGCAACACTCCGGCAGGGGAATATTTTGTCTTCTTTCCCATGGAGTTTCCATATCGTCCGTATCCAATGGTTGCTACGGCGTTCAATCAGGCTCCTCCTTTTGCGACTGTCTAACTTTCTATTGGCCATGGCTGGCGTTATGGGGCACACAACTACGGATAGATGGAGTGATTAATGCTGTTCCAAATGCTCCTTTTCAGTTGCGTTCCGACGATTTATTAGCGGGGAATAAGCATGTGTACGTGGGAGCGGTATAGGCTCAAGGCTGTTATTACAGGGGCATTAAACGGCAGTAAACAGCAATTTGGCCGATCTAGAGGTTCGTTATTGGTAATAAATTTTCTAGTTTCTGCTCAATTAGTGTCTGTCCGTTTATTATTATCATCTCATATACCTACCTACCTGAAGGAGAAGGGGCAGTTTCTTCAGAACAAGTAATAATTAAGATAATTTGAATTTGTTGATTTCATTTAAAAGAGCAAGATTGAAATCTTACAAATCACGCCAACAATTTGAAAACAAAACATCGAGTAGCGAAAATGAAATCACCTAAATGATGACCTCCATTTTTCTGGCACTCCTGGAAGTCGGCTGGTAAACATCTATAAGGTGGGAACAAATAACACATTCAAAACTTGACGAATTATCTAATGGTGCTAGGGAATATACTTGATATTCCCGAAATGATAAGAACATATTCTGCCCTCGTTGTATCTATAGACTATCTAAAATTGTTCTAAATTTGTTCTATCCGTCATTCGGTTGCCCCCTTACGAGCAACCCTCAGAAGTCTTCGAAAGTCTTGTGCGAGCAAGGAATGACGGGGGCCTTACCTTTTAACGTGTGATCCCAAACACTTTCTTAGGCCATCAGAAAAAGTCTGCGTTCGTGGGATTCGAACCCACGATCGATACCTCGACGTGAATCGATATTGAAGCATCGAAGCACTGAGGTACGCCGGCCTAAATGGCATAGCTTGGGAGTGAGTTATATATGGGTAGGTACACATCTGAGGAAATTGCAAATTGAACAATATACACTATTGAAAATGATTTTTAAGAAAGCCAGAAAGTACTCGACCGTTCTCCTCTATACTGAAACAAGAACTTTCTATATCAGACAAATGTGTTTCCAAAGCGGTGTTTATACAAGTTTGCAAATTGAATATGATAACATACCTACAAGCCATGCACCTGAAAATTCACTTCATCTATGGTGGAAAATGAACACATCTGTCCTTTATTCATAGCAACGGTTATCAGATTTCCAATTATGATAACTCAAGTTCTCTCTCACCGTCTTCAGAAGAAACAATTCCATTTCAATTGGGTTTAGCCTTTGACCTCTCCAATAGCTATGTTATTAAGCTCATTTAATAGATTACATTTTCTATCAATCTATCTATCTAAGTGGATTTTCGCGGAAATAAGTCAAGGACAGTGGTAAGAGGGATACGATCGAGTGCCTGTGGGGTCTATGAGAAATTTCTGAGAGACCATCAGAGAAGCATAATTCAGCAGTTGATAATATAATGTCCGTCTATTGATAGCGTTCCCTTTATATTTCTCAATTCGAAAATTTCACAGTTAGAAAGTGGATTGTCGATCTCGATTTGGCCAGAGAAAGAGTTGTTATAACCTACTTCATACTATAAGGTATTTTGTATCTTTGACGATTTCTGCCTATTTGATGGTTCGCGATTTGAACCTAATTTTTTTAATGTTCTGGTTCCCACGAAAATATCCTGTAATGTTCGTAGAACATCGTGAGAACCAAGGGAAATGAGGTAGGAATTGGTGTTCTTTCTAAATTTCTGGAGGTTATATGCCTCGGGGAACACCTCCCTTGGCGATATGTTCCAAAGCCCCGCTGTTCGTTGGATGAACGAATCTTTGGAAAGAGATGTTCTGCAGGTCTCCAAAGTGACCACGAAGGGGTGCGAAGCCTCAACTCGACGGGTTAATCTCGCGGGGACTGCTAAGGGAGGAACAATTGTTGATATTTCAGAAGAGCATCCGTCCATGAAAATATCTATGAAATAGAGCCAGATCGCCAACTTTTCTACGGTGTAGAAGTGAGTGAGTTTGTGAGCAAGGCGAGACGAATTTCCCTTTTTTGAGCAGAATCCAACAGTTTCAGGGTATGTTTGGGTGCAACACTCCAAATATGGGAACGGTATTCCAGGACAGGTCTAATCTGTGCCTTATAGATCATAAGCAGCTGACTGAAAGTGAAATAGTCCTAGTCCGAAACAGAAAACCAAGTTTTTGGAATGCACTTTCAGCAATTGATCTCACGTGATTTTCCCAAGAAAGGTTATTGCTGATAGTAATCCCAAGCATCGAAATGGATGTCTTCAAAGGTATGGTTATTCCTGACAAGCTTATATGTTGGTGAACTATTTGTGATTGACGGACATAGACTTACTAGTACTTATTTAAGGAAGAGGAAATTCATGTTGTTGGTCTATCTGTATTTGTTCCTTGCCCAGATGGATGTTTATATATCCCTATACCCCTAAGTTTTACTTACATTACACTGGTCAAGGAAAGTAGCAGGAATACATAATTGTATTTTATATAAAAAACTATAATATTTTTGATACTTTCCATCTTTTGGTTCAATTAATAATTCAAGTTTTATTGTATCCATGGAATGAGTAAATTGGTGGTAGTGGTGATAGAGGGGTTGATAAGTATTGTTTATGAGCTGAAAATGATACATCGGATGTCACGATGAAGGTAGCCATAGCTGCCTCCGTGGTGACGATATACTTGTAGCCCTGAAAATTCAGGATCTGCTGACAGAAACTAAAATAATTATTGTGCGACTGGCTTCTGTTGTTGATTCCGTCGATTTGTTGTCTCGTCTTCCACCAAGTGTTGCTTATATCTTTTGCACTTTTTTGACCGTACTGATGGGGGTGGAAAGTCCAAAACACTTGACTGATGCAGTTAACTCTTCATGAGGTCTATGTCCAATAATCTCTTCCTAGTTAGCTCAAAACAGTTCCCTGAATATTCCTTCCATTATAATTATTATGATCATTCATATCATGATACAGTTTGGTGTAACCTACTTTGATACAATTATTAGAGTTGTCTATGAGGATGAGGAAGAATAAGAATAGTCATTTCAATGTTTCTCAAGAATGTATAGGTACTTATTATGTCAGAGAATGTAATATAATAATAATATAATCATATTGTATATTCTCTTCGATCACCAATTTTCTTTCATTGATTAATATGTATAGCTGCACGGAGAAAAAATTTCATTGATCACAAATCAAAAACCACTTCTCCC